CCCCCCTAACGTGCCTCATTCTAACGATTTGAATAAATTACTTTCAGGCTGTTTAGCTAAAAAACGCTGTATATTTTTACAGGTGTCCAACAAACAAAGTGAGCTGGTCCATTAACCACGTCAGAAATCGTCATGGTGCTCCCCATAGAAATTCTCAGAATGGACCGAGATTGTTCATTCAGTTCCCCTCAGTCTGGGAGCAACATCTCTTGGACCTCAACTTGGCTCCTAAAATCCCCCTCCACCTTGCTCTGGCTTCTCAGAACGGCCTACTTCCCAGGTGGTTCTGATTTCCCCTGCATAAAATCCACTCCAAATGCACGGATTTATTCCTGAAATCCTGCTCCTTAGGTGGCTATTTCCTCAGGGATGACTGTGACAAGCGATCTCGAGACAGCACACTCACCCGAGGGAGTTTCAAATAGGTTTTATTGTTTTCTGTCAGCAGGCATCTAACTCTTAAAAATGTGTAGGCGACAGGAAATATCACATTATAGATAAATACCTATTAACGAAGAAAAAGAAAACAGAAAGCTTCTTGAAGGCCTATGTTCTACAGTGCCCTAAATTAATTGTAAACAGTTCAGAGTATTTTACTCTAAAACTACAAGCAGTACTTTTAATTATCTACTAGTTTACACTAAAAAATCCTTAAATATTAATGTAAATTTTACCTTATTAAAACAAACAAACAACACCCTCCCCAACAAAACAAAAAAAAGCACATTGCTCAAAGCCCACTCTTTACAGTAAGGAGAGCCTGTAAACTCCTGCCAAGTGTGCCAATGCCAGTGGTTTCTAATACAGATAGCTTCTGCCTGTTATTAAAAAATTCCTTTGCAAGCACCACTCAGTTTTGCTTATTATTTGTTTGGCCTAGTATTGAACAGAGGGAAAAAAATTAAGACATTATTACGGAGCTCTCTCCATAAAAAACAAACAAAACCCACCAAAAATCCCATAGAAAAGGTGGCATAGGAAAAAGCTGAAGATCTGCTGCAGTTTTCAGTATTTCCCTTAACATGTAGAAGCAATAGCACTTTCACAATCATACATTATTGTGTAATCAGCATGCAACACAGTTCTCCTCCTCCATTGGCATCACAATTACAAAATAGCTATGTAAATAAAATACTGCTCAAGAGGGGAGTGTTTCTGCTCTCTCACAGAGAAGCCTTCATCTCCCTGGTACCTTTTAGGGAGGTGTTTGGTCTCTTCGTTCTCTTTTCCCTGGGAGGACAGACATACTTGTCTCTCTTCATTTACTGATGGCTGAGCCAAGGGGTTTGATCAGAAGTGACATTTAACCCCAACCCCCCGTTTGCAGTGCAAGCTGCTTCTGCAGCTCCGGGTCCTGTGTCTTCAGAGAGGGGGGCTCTGCCCTGCAAAGAACAGAGAGACTGGTTGTGTGTCGGGCATTGAAGGGAAGCAGGTATCATCGAGAAGCTTGGAGGGCAT